TTAGGAGAAGACTTCTATAAATACTCTTCATCACCCTAGTCTGTAAAAAGGTCAGTCAGGTTAGTTTGTTTGGTTTGTCCATCTGAAATTTGGTTTGTAACCTATACTCTCCTCAAATCAGTGAAATTTATTCTCCTCTGCCCGTGGATTAGCTAGCACACATTGTGTTAGTGAATCACGTCAAATTTGTGTTCGTTCGTGTTGGTTTGGATTATCGATTGCACGCTTCTGTTCTGACATTCTCCTTTGCTGAACTACCAGAGATCCCATTTTACTCCCGCAAAATCCCAGGTGAGAATAAATTTATAAGTTGTTGCTGCAATATCATATCAAAGAAGTTAAATTTCCATTCTACTCCTGTGAAATCCCCAGAGGAAATTGGATGGAGGATGTGAAATCGAAGCTGCGAGCGCCATCCTCTCCTTTCACGCACTAGAAATTCCTGTTAACTTTTAGATTTCAGTAGGTGAAGAAAAAAGGGTTGGACTGGAAAATGATGATAGATGTTAAGTAACTATTGATTAATTAGCATTGTAAGAAGAATCCCAACTGCATATTTTTGTCATTTGTTACCGTAATGGGTAATGAGCACAAAAGGTCACAAAACTATCCACTTAGTACATAATGGTCACAAACCTTTAATTTTGCACGTTCCAATAACAAATGTTTGGACGAATAACGAAAATGTCATTCCGTCCAACTCCATCCAAAAAATCGTTACTTTTCTCCAATCAGTGTGCCACATCACTTATATTAATAAAAAATTAATGACCAAACCCAATCAACCCAGACTCAACCCAACCAGTTGCCCACTCAAACCCCCTCATCGCCGCCGTCTAACCTACCGTCAACCTTACCTCTGCCAAAAACATCTTTTTACTCTCCTAAAATCTTCATTCCAACGAACTGTTCCTCCCTACGCATCATATGGAAATCCCCAAAAGTTGTCGGCTGAACTCTGTAACACAATCCCCAATGCACTCCCACACTGCTCGCCACAACCACTTTCCACACTTTCGCTTTTCCTCCTTCCCCGCCGTTACCGGTGCAAGAGCCGGACTTCGCACCGGCGAAAGCTTCACGATCAGCCCATAATGCCCGTTGGTTGCCCGGAGGGAGTCAAATGCACTTCAAGTTTCTGCAGACGATATATTAGAAGAAGCAGACAATTAAAAAAGCTTCCATAGCGTGACCACCAAGCGAAAATCACCTTCACTGATGGATGGAAATACAGAGGTAACCCTTGACCAAAATGAAGACAAAGAGTCTAGTCCAGTGCAGGCCAAAAGGAAAATGGTGGACGACACATCATCAAAGGTGGAATTAGAAAAGTCTACTTTATTGGGTAAGATGATTAGGGGACAATGATTCAAATTTGAGGAAGTTTTGGGAACTTCTCATTTTTCTTATAGAAGTGAGAGCTTCATGACGCCTGGGTAGACGACTTCGTTGAGGAGGTTGAGCCGACAGCCGGTTGGGTTATGTCTTGGTTCATTAGGTTTGGTCATTGATTTTTTATTAATATTTTAAGTGATGTGGCATGGCGATTGGGCATAACTAACGGTTTTTTGGACGGAGATGGACGGAATGACCTTTTCGTTATTCGTCCAAACATTTGTTATTGAAACGTACAAAATTAAAGGTTTGTGACTGTTATGTACTAAGTGCATAATTTTCTGACCTTTTGTGCTAATTACCCATATAACCAAGTATTAAAACTCCAATGCTTGATTCTATATATCCTTGATGAATGAAATTACGGAAAACTCTTCATGCTTTCATTTAAGATATGAACAGGGTTTATCTGTTGAAAGGTAATTTGCAACAATAATTATCATAACCAAAATGTCCCACTACAATCACTTCAAGAGGACAACCCATTTGCACAAGATAGACATCTCAACCTACTGCCAACAAAGAAGTAAATTGATTGTTATGCATGGAAGAGAAAAGAGACTTGGCATTATTAGTTTCTTTCATTTACATTATCTATATATGTATGTATAAGTGTGTATGGCAATGGCAGAGAGACTGGGCAAGAGACATAAAAAATAGAAAACATAGATGTCTCTGCCGTGAGTGTGTAAGACAAGAGCCAAATGAATAAGGCCTTGTTTGTTTGAGTGTTTTTTAAATTGAGTGATTAAACACCATTTGTTTCCTTTGTGTTGATCCTAAATCATACCACATTTTCGCTAATCCCCAACAAATTTGGTATCAGAGCTAATACCCTTCTATCCTCTCAAAAATCCCCAAATTTCTAGCCTACCCAATCCTCTCAAAAATCCATGGCAACAACTTCCTCAAACACCATGTTTGCTACCTCTTCTAATCAAATTCCCATTTTCGATGGAGAATTGTACGAGTACTGGAGTGCCCAAATGGAGCCAATTTTCATCTCTCAAGATCTGTGGGATATAGTCCAAGATGGCTATGAAAGTCCACAGGAAGATGATGAAGACTCGAAGAAACGATCAGGCAAGCAGACAAAGGAGTATGCCAAGCAAAATACCAGCGCCTTGAGAATCATTCAGCAAGCAGTGAGCAAATCAATTTACCCCATAATCTATGGCATCAAAAAGGCCAAAGAAGCTTGGGATGTCTTGCGTGAACAATTTCAAGGTTCTGAAAAGGCGATCTCCATGAGGCGACAAAGTTTATGGCGTCAGTTCGACAACTTGATGATGAAGGAAACCGACACCATCAAAGACTTCCATTCGCGTGTGGCGAAGACAGTCAACCAGATCAAAGCCACCGGTGACATCATGGAAGAAAGAAAAATTGTGGAAAGAATTCTACGCAGTTTGTCATCAAAGTTCGAGCATATTGTTGCCGTCATTGAAGAAACCAAAGATCTGGCAAATCTACCAATGAGCGAGTTGATGGGCTCACTTGTAGCACATGAGCAAAGAATAAGCCGCTTCACCAAACCGCCATTGGAGCAAGCTTTCTCGTCAAAAGTCAACATGACGGAAAGTAAATATGTCAAATCGGAGCAAGGCCAGAGAGGGGAAAGCTCACAAGGGAGAGGAAAAGGAAGATCCAATTACAGAGGAAACAACAGACAAAATTATCAACAACAAAGATCGGGCTACACCGGCTCGAGTTGCATAATTTGCAAAAAGGCGGGTCATGCAACAAAAGATTGCAGATTCAAGTGCACCAAGTGCAGAATTCAGAACCACTCCTAGAGAGATTGTTGGTTCCAGAACAAGCAAGAAGATGGCGAGTCAAGCGGCACCAAAAATGAAGAAAGCAATATGGTGGCCTTGTCATGCTTGTATGGTGAGCAAAAATCACAGCTTCCCTGGATTGTGGATAGTGGTTGCAGTAACCACATGAATGGAGATCTGGAGTCCTTCACCGACATCGATGACCAATACTGCTCTCAAGTTAAGTTGGGAGACGCCAAGAAGTTAAAAGGGGAAGGAAAAGGCACAGTTGTTGTATGCACAGAAGAAGGCAACAAAACTCTCATTCGAGATGTTTTGTATGTTCCGGAGCTAACTCTCAATCTACTGAGCGTGGGACAACTGATGCTGAAAAATTACAAGCTATTGTTTGATAATGGCGTGTGCGAGATTATCAACAAAGCTGACAATTTCATGATGGCCAAAGTCCCGATGATTTCCAACAGAATTTTCTCTCTTGCTATGTCACAAAATGGCGAAGTAGCATTCAAGAGTGAAAATCTGGATCAATCCTTCCTATGGCATCTCAGATACGGTCATCTGAACTTCAAGGGCCTCAAATTGTTGAGGTAGAAAAATATGGTGGTGGGACTTCCCCAAATCAACAGAGAAGACAAAATCTATGAAGGGTGCATATATGGCAAAATGCATCGTTTGCCATTTCGAAAGACATCTTGGAGAGCAAAAGCGCCACTAGAGTTGGTACATGCAGACATATGTGGTCCAACCCGAACACAATCACTCAGTGGCAAAAGATACTTTCTACTATTTGTAGATGACTTCACCAGAATGATGTGGGTATTCTTTTTGGAGCAAAAGTCATAAGCTTTTCCCAAGTTCCTTCAATTCCAAGCAGTAGCTGAGAAGGAAAGTGGCCATCAAATCAAAACTCTCCGTACAGATCGTGGAGGAGAATTTATTTATACTCGGTTCATAGAGAATTGCCGCAACAACGGGATAAAAAGGCAGTTGACGGTCCGTTACACACCACAACAAAATGGCGTGGCAGAACGAAAAAACCGTACGATTGTGGAGATGGCGAGAAGTATGCTCAAAGCTAAGAAGCTTCCAACAAGTTGTGGGCAGAAGCAGTCAATACAACAATTTACATCCTCAACAGATCACCAACCAAAGCAGTTCGGAACAAGACACCGATACATGCGTGGCACCACAGGAGGCCATAGGTCAATCACCTCAAAGTCTTTGGGTGCATAGCTTATGCACACATTTCTACCCCAAACCGAGACAAGTTTGACCAGAAGGGAGAGAAGTTAATCTTCACCGGCTATAGTGATGAATCCAAAGGCTAACGTCTTTACAACCCAGTAAAGAACGAGGTGGTGGTTTCCCGAGATGTGATCTTTGATGAGATGGCGGAGTGGAATTGGGAAAATCCAATTTCTCAATCTCCACCGAGTTATGAAATTCTGGAGGATTCAGCAACTCCAAAAGACCCCAACAACGAATCATATCCAGTTGCAAGTCCAGAAAGAAATTATGCACCTAGCCTAGAAGGAGATGACTTCAGAGACGTCGTAACAGACTCGGATTCACCTCCGTTAAAAACAAGGTCTTTGCGAGAAATTTATGAAACAAGTCATGTTGCATATTTTTCTTGTGAGCCTCAAGTCTTTGAAGAAGCAGCTAAAGACGAAGTTTGGAATGAGGCAATGGATGCAGAAATTTCCATGATCGAGAAAAACAAGACATGGGAGCTTGTTGATCAACCGGAGGGCAAGCCGGTTATAGTTCTCAAATGGATCTATAAGGTCAAATTCAATGAAGATGATTCTATCCAGAAATACAAAGCTCGACTGGTGGCAAAGGGCTATTCACAACAACCCGGTATTGATTTCACAAGACATATGCACCAGTAGCGAGGATGGAGACCATCAGAACAGTTCTCGCTCTAGCTTCTCAACTGGAGTTACCAATATACCAGCTGGATGGTAAATCAGCATTTCTAAACGGAGAACTGGAAGAAGAAAACTATGTGGAGCAACCACGAGGCTATGAGAAAAAAGGAGAAGAAGACAAAGTCTATCGTCTCCGAAAGGCTTTATACGGGCTGAAGCAAGCACCGAGAGCCTGGAATAGCAGAATTGATCGATATTTTCAGCAAAACGGATTTCAAAGAAGTCCGAGTGAAGCATCTCTCTACATCAAAAAGGGAGAAGGAAAAGATTTTCTAATGGTGTGTTTGTATGTTGATGACTTGATTTACACAGGTACAAATCAACATATGATCGAAGAATTCAAAAGTACCATGATGAAAGAATTCGAGATGACAGACTTGGGACTCATGAAGTATTTTCTTGGGATCCTAGTGAAGCAGTCACCTGGAGAAATATTTATTTCACAGGAGAAGTACACCGAAGATATGCTGAAAAGATTTCACATGGCAACGTGCAAACCAATCTCAACACCGATGGCGTTGAACGAGAAATTGCAACGCAATGATGGAGCTGAAAAAATCGATGGAAAGTTGTACAGGAGTCTCGTCGGGTCACTCATTTACCTGACACATACCAGACCGGATATATGTCATTCAGTAAGTCTTATATCAAAATTTATGAATGAACCTAGCAAACTTCATTTTGCAGCAGCAAAAAGAATTTTGCGGTATCTTCAAGGTACAAAGAAATTGGGCCTGATGTACAAGAAAGAAGCAGAAAGCAAGCTGACTGGATTTACCGATAGTGGCTGGGCAGGATCACTAGATGATCGAAAAAGCACATCGGGGTACATATTCTGCCTGGGTTCAAAACAAATTTCCTGGAGTTCAAAGAAGCAGAAGACTGTGCCATTATCTTCAGCGGAAGCAGAATATATCGCAGCTACAGATGCAACATGCGAAGCGGTATGGCTAAAGAGATTAATTTATGATTTGCAGCAAAATGAAAATGGTCCAACCATTATTCATTGTGACAACATGTCAGCCATAGCCATGACAAAGAATCCAGTATTTCACGCAAGATCGAAGCATATCGAGTTGCGTCATCATTTCATCCGAGACATCGTCAACGAAGGACTCATCGTGATGGAATTTATCAACACCGACGACCAGCCAGCAGATATCATGACAAAGGCGGTCACCCGTGAGAAGTTCAAGAAGCTTCTCCAGATTGCAAATTAAGAGGGGGTGTTCAAAGGTAATTTGCAACAATAATTATCATAACCAAAATGTCCCACTACAATCACTTCAAGAGGACAACCCATTTGCACAAGATAGACATCTCAACCTACTGCCAACAAAGAAGTAAATTGATTGTTATGCAAACAAATAATTCAGCAAGTGGATGTGATGAGAAGAAAGCAAGCCAACCAAATTAATGGGTGAATAATTATGTAGTCCCATGCATATCAAGTTGGCAAGAAACATGAAGTAATTACATGGGTCATCTAGTTCCCATCTTCATTCACGTCCACATGCATGGAAGAGAAAAGAGACTTGGCATTATTAGTTTCTTTCATTTACATTATCTATACATGTATAGGTGTGTATGGCAATGGCAGAGAGAGTGGGCAAGAGACATAAAAATAGAAAACATAGAAGTGTCTGCCGTGAGTGTGTAAGACAAGAGCCAAATGAATAAGGCCTTGTTTGTTTGAGTGTTTTTTAAATTGAGTGATTAAACACCATTTGTTTCCTTTGTGTTGAACCTAAATCATACCACATTTCCGCTAATCCCCAACAATATCGTGTAAGGTGGAAATTTAAATCTACAACTAGATGATTGTAGTTGCATGAACATAAATCGAAACATACAGCTTGGCAAGGCCAAACTCTGATACGGTAGGTTCCAAGTTCTCATCGCGTATCGTAGGAGAACAGTCATGGTGCAGGTATGCTTCCTTGAGCAGAACCTAAGGCTATTCTTAAACGAGCACACCATTTAAGTTCATGATCTTCTTCATCTTAATTAAAGTGTATGGTAGATCACCATAGAAAGTAATAAACTTTGTGTCTGTCGGAACAAAAACTTAATATCCAAAGTTTCCCCAAGAGATTTTCGGCCGAAAAAAAGAAAATAGGGCGATTTAGGAGCTAGGGCAAAAGCAGCAAAATTAAAATCTGCAGTTGAACTTTTTGACCAAATTCAGAAGTACTGTTGGTCCATGCACCAAGTAAGTGGATCATATTTTGGTAATTGAAATCTCGGCTCCATCTGCTGGCCTTTGATGAGACAGATATTCCACCCCTGCATTTGGATTTACAAGTTCCCACCTGAAAGAATGAAAGAAAGAAAGTGAGAATCCAACCAAAACCAGTTAGTACTACTTCTTGTCAGTTGACAACTAACAACCCATACATGACCAATCATTAACTTATCGAATTCTACGTACTTGTATCCAGTAGACAAGTGATGGAGAAAGATAGCAAGGTGCGTCCTAGCGAACATGTTCCCGACGCAAATCCTCGCACCCGCTCCAAATGCTTGAAACCCACTCCGCTTTACCTGAAAATTTACGCGACCAATCAGTATTTCCTAAATTCTGAACCCGAAACCCTGATGTTAGACTGAATCACTAACATCGTATCGGTCAGGATTGAAGCAGAACGGATCATCGAAGTTGTTTGGATCCGTATGAACGTAGCGAAGCCAACACAACACCTTCCACCCTTTGGGAATGACGTGGCCTGTCGTCCACATCAGTTGGCGACAATTTGAACATCAATCTAGCTTAGTATAGTCATGATGATAGACAGGGCAGAAGAGAATATTACAAAGAAGACCAAGTCAAAATTGGATGGGGATGATGACAAACCTCTAAACTCCACATCCCTATCACTTAATCGAAAGGCGAAAACAGAGACATTAGCGAATCTCAGTATTTCCTCTACCACCTGCCGAAAGGGAAATGAGAAAATCACCATGTCAGAATCCCAACATATTGATATCAATCGGAACATCTTTACGCACATTTATAATGGTTAAATCGATTGTAATGATATTTCATAAACATTAAGCTGGAAGCAATTCAACGATATTTAGGGGTGTTCAAATGGTTATCGTGGTAATAATCAAATCAATTAAGTCTAAATTTTATTAACCATGGAATAAAATGTCTTAACCAAACCGTCCAAATTAACACGAAACCCAAATTAACCAAACCAAAATTTAATTGGTTTGGTTAATCAGATAATGGGATTAACCAAATAACATAACATTACATAAAAACAATTAACCTGTTAATGAATAAAACATAACCATATGTTGTTACTATCATAATCTATCATTATATATAAGCAATAATAATAACACTAACCATCCATGATTATCATCATCATTCGAGTTAATACATCATTCATCATCTCTGCACCTAATATAGTTAGCTTACAACAAACCACATAACATAAATACTTACTAATACCCCTCATCAGGAAGTTAAAACTCTCCTACAAAACACTTAAACTATACATAGTTTGAGGTGGTTGTCATGGTATTGTACGTAATCCTAAAGTCTAGTAGCTATCCAAAATATTTTGGTTTAGTAAATAGAGAATCACGGAAGTTTGGTTTGGTTGGTTGGATGAAAGTATATATAATTTTGTATATTAGGTGTATCATTAATTAGTTAATTGGTTTCATTGGTTAGCAATGTTGAAACCAAACCAAACCACCTAAACCAAATAAGCTAAATTGTTTAACCAAACAAAACCAATTATCCAAATTAACCAAACCAAATTAACCGAATGTTACTAGTTAATATGGTTATCACGGTAACCAATCCATTTCAACACCCCTGTCGATATTAGCACGAATCGAGCGCGTAGTCCCACAGGATTACAGCAAATCAATTTACCTTCTTTGTGTACTTGAGCTTTGAGATGTCATCATAAGTTATGTAATCCTCACCACCACCTTTCTCCGTCTTCAGACCCATGTTCTCCTCCTGCCCACAAAGGTTCAGATCCGCCGTAAGAGAAACTATTGACAGACAAAACCCAGAGTCAGTTCTACCCAGAAAGCGGCCAGAGCTGCTCACTCGAAGTTTGGAGAGGGCGTCGGGATGCTTGGCGAGGCAGTGCAGAGCCCACATGGAGGAAAGAGCGGTGGAATCATAACCTCCAACGACGAGGCTGGCGATGTTATCCACCACTTCTTCATCGCTCAACAGGTCGCCTTTCTCGTCCCTTATCTCCATCAACCCATCCATAAGATCTTTTTCTTCCTCTGCTTCCTGCTTTCTTCCCCTGTTTCTCTGCTTCCTCTTCTCCAGCTCTCCCCTGAATATCGACTCTATACTCTTTCTACACTGATTATCATCCAACCCCAGTAGATAAGAGGATTTTATCAGGATTCGAATTAAAGGATTTTGGATCAAAAGAATGAATTCTAATTTCTGAGATTATAAGTTTTTACCTTGAGGGCATGGTGGTACGAAGTTCCAGGGAAATCGATAGGAGTGGCCCTCATTCCCTTCATCATCCCCTGGAAGTATCCGTCCAATTGTTCCATTACAGGACCTGGCTCAAAGCTCACAAACAGCTTCCCTATGCTCTCAAATGTCATCTGCGCAAACAGGGTTCAAATTCGAATCTTGATTTGATTCCTAATGACCCATCAATTTTCAATCACCAAAAAAAAAAAAGGTGGTACCTTTCTGGCTTCGTGAAACCCGTTGACGGTGCCCTTCTGGGCCCAGGACCGGAGCGAAGCGGCGATGATCGGCTGGTTGAGTTGGGCGATCCGGCGGAGAGCTCTGGGCTGGTTGATGGCCGCCGAAATGAAGTTCCTCATCCGCTTGTGACTCTGCCCCAGCGCCGCCGTCAGCGAGTGGTGGCCCACCAGGTCGTTGGTGGGCCACCGGTGGAGGCAGAACGCCTCGTCGGACTGCAGAACGAACCTGCTGCTCTCCGCCGTCCACGCGATGATCGATGGCTGGCCCAGCAGGTGCGTTCTGTACAGTCCCACCCCATCTCCGTATCTAGGAGAAGAAAACAGAGTTGGTAATTAGATCGGAGGTAATTAAAATTGAATTGAACATGGAGATCTCAGCGACGGAGGGAAATAGAGAATGCTTACTTGTGTCGTTTGGAATTGATGAAATCGTCGGGGCGGCGGACGATCTTGAAGTACCAGAGGAAGGAGAGAAGGTCTCCGATGAAGGGCAGACCCATGTGCCCCCGCGGCATTATTTTACCGGTTCCGGCGAGACGGGCCTTCACCGGAGCTACATGACGGAGTTCGTTCCACCACCATACCAGTGCGAGGGACAGCAATGTGCTGCAGCAGAGAATCCACCATGGAGGAATCATTTCTCCTCTCTTACCTTTTTCTTTTCCGCCTTTTCCCCCTTGCTCTGTTGTACAGTAGTGCGTGCTAGCCTAGCGTTTAAATAGTGACAAGAAAAAAAAAACGGTAGGAGAATATTATGGAAAGGATGACGATAAAAGAAACAAATTTAAGGAAAGAGGTCGCATTCCTTATGTCCATGGAACTTGATGAAAACTAAAAAAAAAAAAAAAAAACTGTTGCAGAAGAAACCCTGGAAATGAAATGGTCGCGCATGGCGAACGAGGTTAGTTTAGAAACCTCTGCGTCTGAGTTATGTTAGTAAGTCGCTGTCCTTGACTTTATATAAACTTAACCTGAGATTACGACGGTTGAACAGAAGGAAGGTTATTCATCTAATCCCCAACCTCAATGTGGATGAAGCAAAACCCAGCTCGATTCTGAAGAACAGGTGGGGGAGATTCTAACTCGAGTTGTTGGGAGTTGGAATCGTAGGACTAAAAGTTCAAATGTATTTGTATTAAGTTTAAATGATTTATCATGATTATGATAATTTTGGGTTTGATTTAGAGGATTAGAGCTCAAGAAAGTTGTATTGAAGGATCCATTACACGATTAATAAGAAGCTAATCCGCAGTCTTGACTTGTTTAGTCGTGAAAGCTAGGTAAAACTGGAGATGGACAAATAGTGAGTTTTATGGTGGCGACTTAATCTCATAAAATCCAATTTCAAACTAATCTCTCCATAACACGATTGTGTTTTACATTCGTGAATTTGAATCTTCTGTGACAGTTTTGAAAAAACTCGAGTTAAAACGAAGGAGGCAAATGATAGTATGATTAATCAAAAAATTATTCACCTGAAAAATATTTTAAAAAAAATTGATAAATTTTTTAGATCCCAATGAAGGTAATTTTTTCGTACAAATTTTTTAATATTTGGGTTAAAAATGGAGTAGGTAGACAGTGACATAACTGGTTGAATACATTTAAAAATAATTTTAATTTTTTAAATTACAATATCTATGTTCAAAGAGTTTTGAGTAGTGACTTAAAATCGTTGTCTAATAAAATCAAATAAAAATGAATTAATTGCGTTCAAAACAATAAGTGTTTTTTTCTCTTTTTTTACCAATAGATCACTTGTATTAC